CCAGAGGATCATCCGATAAATAAATATGTGCAAAAGTACACACTAAAATTCTATCATGAAGAGCCTCCACATTAATCAAACCCCAACCTCCAGAATTGATGGGCATGTATAAACGGTTAAGTGAGGAACGAGGGTGCTGTGCTCTGTTATCAGACATGATCCTTCTGGTCAGGCGGTCAAGACTCTGGATGTCTTGTTTTGTCCAATCAACTACTCCAAAGGAATAAGAAAGGACTGGCACAGCAAAAGTATTGGTGGCTTTGACCTTGTTTCGAGCATTTAGCTCTGAGCTCCAGATTTTCTTTAAACGAGATTTGTACTCGGCCCGAAGTTTGTCTTGAATCTGGGCATTCTGGAGCTTGTCTCGAACTTGCATTCCAAGATAGGTGTAGGCCTGCTCTTCCACAAGATGCTCAATAACTCCTCCCCCTTGTAACTTGACTGATCCATCATTAGTTACCTTGCCACGTTTCAAATGAAGAGTATTACATTTGTCGAGTCCAAATGTCATGCCAATATCATTAGAAAAGGACTCGACAAGGAGAACCTGCTCTTTCAAATTGGAATCTCCTTTGGCAAGGAGCTCGATATCATCCATGTAAAGGAGATGAGTAAGAGGTGTTGGGGATCTGTGCTGAGGAGGTCCGGGATGGTAACCCTCCTCTTTATTGAGCAGAAAGCTCAAAGGATTTAAAGACAGACAAAAAAGCAAAGGACTAAAAGAATCCCCCTGAAATATTCCCCTTCTGATTGGAATAGATTCTGAAGTCTGCACCTGCCCTTGCGAGTACATCTCAAGTTGAGTCGACCAGCAACTCATTAAAGACTTGAGTAAATCAAGTAGTCGCTCAGGGAGGTCAATACAATGAAGAGACTTCAGAATCCATTCGTGAGGGACAGAGTCGTATGCTTTTTTGTAGTCAATCCAGCACATGGAGAGGTTGCGGTGATATGTTTTAGCCTCTTCCAAAATCATTTTCTGTACAAGAAGTTTATCCTTGCACCCCCAACATCCCTTTCTTGCTCCCTTCTGCTCTCTGTAAATGATATCATTGGAAGAGCAGTAAGATGACACGAGGTTTGTCAAACACCCTGTGAATATTTTGTATTGTGTATTCAAACATGTGGTAGGGCGGAAGTTTTTGGGATCAGTCAAGTCTCCTTTCTTGGGGAGAAGTATTGTGCAACCTTTGCAGAACCATGGAGGAACATCACCTGTGTCCACAAGAGAATTGAAACAGTGAAGTAATGGTGTTTGGACACAGGGGAACAGTTTCCAATACCGATTTCGAATGCCATTAGGCCCTGGAGCTGTATTAGATTTGGACTTTTTGATGACACTTTTCAGGCAATCTGGTGAGATGTAACAGACAAACGACCTAGTTACTTTCTCATGCATTGCATGGTCATAATCACGGACCCATGGTGCCTCAAGGTTACAGTCGCCGGGTATAGACCACAACTGTTTCCAGAACCTTTCATTGGCATCAATGGAAGGCCGTTTATCATGCTCACCATCACCGTTTGTTTTGAGTTGCCTGTAGAAGTGTTTTTGATTATTTCTAAAAAGTTTATTTTGTTTGATGAATTTATTTTTCTTTTCCCATTTTTTCTTTCTTTCAGTCCAAACCTTTATTTTTGCCTTAAGGGAATCGACAATTTCAAGAAGTACCTTTTCTTCTTCTTATTATTATGTTTTACAGATTAAAGATTGTATGCAGCAGAGAGGGTTCGGGTGATCCTGGCACAGTCAGGCTGGTAAGGCTCATCATCAGCTCAGGGCCCTTGCCCCCTCTACACGCAGCCCAGACAGCAAATGGGACTTCTCCCAGGAAACGCTGCCTAGTCGAACCCACCAAGAACTTTCCGGAGAATATGAAGGCTCCCCAACACTGCAGCCTTCTGCATTACCCAGAGTGTCAGAAGGGCTGTACTCCCGGTGGAGAACCCGGGCACTCTCCTGATCTGCACCAAGAGATCAGGAGGTACCAAACCAAGGGCACCGAGAACAATGGGGAGCCTGACGACAGTGTACTTGGGATGCAAGCGAGACATTTCAAAGGCGAGGTCCGCATATTTATCATGCTTTTCCTGAATCTTGCCAATCACATTGGTGTCAAAAGGGACAGAAAATTCAATGATATAAATAAATTCATTGGCTTTATCAAAAAGGACAAGATCAGGTTTGTTGGCTGGAATTCTTCTGAGGCTGTATATGGGCTTATTCCACATAAGTTTGAAAGCATCATTTTCCATGACCGAGATTTGTACTCAGCCCGAAGTTTGTCTTGAATCTGGGCATTCTGGAGCTTGTCTCGAACAAGATAGGTGTAGGCCTGATCTTCCCATCCTGTCGCTTTCGCACACTCAAGCAGTGTGGATTTGAGATGGTTTATTATTATTATTATTATTATTAGATCTTCCCCAAATGGTGTCCAAACAAGTTTGCAACATTCAAAGCTTCACAGCGGCCTCAGCAAAGCTTTCACAACGGTTTTTGGTAGACATGTGGAGGAAATTTCAAAACCTGATGCCTCAGTGACAAAGATGATGTCCGATTCCATCTTTGGACTTAAACCATACGTTCCCGATTGTTTTAGGTTAAGAATAAGAAGAAGTAGAAGTATGTTGTCGCTGTCTACTATTGCAGAAGTAGCAGTTGATTTAGATGCAGACGGTCTTGTTCGACGATATGACACTAATTGATACGAAAAAACGTAACCATTGAAATCACCCCATGGATGTTCCCCCTTTCTGTATACATTGTAAAAACAACATCTTAGCAGATCTTGCGTCACAGGATACCAGAACAGAACAGAGTTTTATAATCGTTAATCACGTACAGTGCTATAGATCATGCATATATACACTTGCTAACTGTACCCTGAGACTTGAAGCCACTACAGATTTCTTTCTTTCATTGAGATATGTGATGATATTGGCCAACAGTGAAAATAACGGATTTGCTGACTTTATTGGATATAAGTAATCTCAGACTGTACCCGAAGCAGAGATAAAAAACTGTGGGAAGATCAGGTGGGGTTACAGTGAGAAACAGATATATATTTACTTCCATTATGCAATCTAAGAATGAATCGGTGCACAAATGAGCTTTGTTTACCATATGGAAGGTAAGAACTAGTATGTTGTAATGTTGTATATAAAAATCTGTAATTCATTTCTAAATAGTTCTGGGATAGAATTGGTCTTCAGCAACCCATGCTTGTCGGAAGAGGCGACTGAAAGGATCAGGTGATCAGGTTCGCTGACTTGGGTGACACATGTCATCGTATCCCGATTGTGTAGATCGATGTTCCTGCTGCTAATGACGGATTTACTGAATTCTATTTACGATGATATATTGAATTATCTATCCGTGATATTGTTTCTGTGTTTGGTGATTTTAATGCGTGAGTAAGGAGCGTGTCATTATTAACATTACGCTAGTAGACACTGCAACAAAAGCCAGCATGTCAGCCAATGAAAACATCTCTCACGGCACCACTGCCCTTTGCGCCGGCAGCTCTAGGTCAGACACCAAAGATGTTGGTTAGAAAAAGAATGGTTTATTCAGATGGCACATGTGTGTAAATACATAACAGTTAGTTCGTAAGGCGGAATATACAAAACTACAGACACTTGGCCATCAGCCTGAGGATCAGGCCAATGAGACATAAAAAATTAAAGGTATGTATGGGAAAGCCGCAATAACGCGGGGCGCCTTGTGGCAGCAAGAGTTGTATGATCCCCAGGGAGCTGAGATTGATAATAAGATGTGCCGTTGAGATTGACATCCAATGATCGAGGGGGAAAATACCAACACCTTGAGCATGCACTAGCGCGTGGATATGTGCGCTATATAAATATCCAATAATGAATATCCAATATTAAAGGTATTATTAAATTGTAAAAGTAAAAAATAACAATAATGTTATAAAGCCATCTTAAACGATTAGCACTCATTTAGATGGGAAATACAGCTATAAAGATGGGAAATACAGCTATTACAGAACACCGGCTTTGTCTTTTCGAGGTCTAGTTGCACCAGTTTGGGTTTAACCTCTCATTTTGCTTGAGAAGGAGTGTCTGATCTGTTGGAGACATGTTTACGAATAAGGGATAGAAAGAAACAGTTCCTTCCACAGACCACATCAAGCATCAGAATCAAAATCACAGCTAATTAAACAGTGAGTTTCATCCTCGACAGTATTAGTGCTACAAAGCTTACATATTATTTCCTGTAACGGGATCTTTCGACGACTAAATCTACCAAGCTTGACTTTGAGACGGAGAGCACAAGAGCTAAATTTAGAATGTGTTTACCAGCACCAAAAACAGGTTGCAGCTCTATTTTGTACAGAGTTAAGTCAACTACACAGTCCCCTCTTCTTATGTAGCATAACCAACATGTTTCTATTAATCCACAAAATGCCATATCGATAGAAATACTCCACTACCAGCAACATTCCACCCCTTTAAATTATATATACTCAACAAAATTAGAAACTTGACACCTACATTTTAGATAGCAATTGTGAACGGGTAATTCTTTGTAGGTTCATATTGTGGCATACATGTACACGCAACAATGACATGTAGGCTGTTGGAACATGGCCCATGGGGAAACACAACAGTCACGTGCAAACTCAGACATTGCTAAACAGGATGTTTCGTCAAAAGCGACTCTGCCGCGTCTCACAAATCAGCAACGTGTGGTGCCATGGGTAGACTTGAACAATCCGTTAAAGCAGTTGCATGATCCCTAGGCTGCATCACACCAATATGACGTTGAAGTCAGGTTACGCCATCTCCACATGCAGACAATTGTTCGGAATAGGAACACAGACCGCCAGGAGCATCTATCAGAGCTAGACACCCATACACAGGACATATACCCCCTCGTTCCTAGTTTTATTTCGATTTCCTTGTTTGTTTCGAAATATACTCATGGAAACAAATAAGGGAACACATAAAAGTACAAGTGTTCCTTTATTCTTTCCCAGCTTTCTTCACAAGGTATTTATTGCACTGTGGGTGAAATTCTGGAAATAAAAAAAGGAACACTTGTAGTTTCATGTGTTCCCTTATTTGTTTCCATGAGTATATGTTCATAAGTAAAGAAAACAACAGCTCCAGCACACATATATGTGTAGAATGGGGTATGTCACTAGGGTATCTACTTGAACAAAGCCAGCATGAATGTCAACACTGAGACCAACAGGAGGAGTAGAGACGGCTTGGAGACACAAGCGTCACAGCCAGCTGGTCTATTGTACTTGATCACTTCTTTCAGGACCTCTGCTGTTCTCTTCGGACAGGAACCATAGGCTTTCTCAACGCAGGTATCCAGCAACAGCGATACTCTGGATACACAAAGGGTAGTTGATACATATTTAAATGATATCTACTAGACATATCTGTAGATTAGGATAACTAAATATAAGTTCACACGTTCACATTTGTCCTCACTTTCGACATTGCCAACGTGAATAACTCTCCCAAGCTGTGATACATGAAATAATGTTTTAATTTGTGGCTACTAAAACCAAAAAATCAAAAGAAAATTGCTTTCTGTCAATATTCTACAATGCTTTAATTTGAGCTATAGACGTTTTAGGAATACCTGCAGGCGAATGTGACATGTTCATCAGCCGTGGAGACATCTGAACCTCCCAGGATGCCACCCAGAAGACAGTTAGTGACGATCATTGTCCTATCCGGAGAATCCAAACATGGAGCGTCCACATCTGAATATATACAAAACTATCTTTTAAGATAGGCAGGCAGACACACATGTCTATTATCCATACGGGTGAGGAGATCCCGTGTAATATCTTTTTGATATTTGCACAATGTGCAATTTAAGTCATTTTCGACGTTGATTGGTCGATCGTATATTTGTACATTTTCATTGGATGTCGGAACTACTTTCACACCACTATGTTCATTCATAATATTTCATCGATTCATTGATGAATTGACCGTGCTGTAATCGCACTGATTCGAGTTTAAAATAGAACAAAAAAACCATACAGGATTTCGATTCTGATGCTTATTTAATGCTTCATTCATACTTCATTAACAATATGGCGTCGTTTACTTAACAACATGTGTTTTAATAAAAATGTCTAATCGTATTTAGTAAACAAACATGGCTACCCAGTTAACTGCAATCAACGTCAATGACCTGGTCAAGGTGGACGGATACATTACTGGACGTGTAGTGAGAATAATGCAACCACTAAATTCCTTTCGCGTGTATGTGATAAACGCTGAACATGGTGAAATGGAAGTCGCAAGGTATTGAACAGACTGAAAGTGTTGCCGGAAACGATATTGAGTGAGTCGGCATCTCGCCAAAGTCCCTACTTACCGGGGAGTGTCACAAATGACATACTGCAAGATGATTTTTTACCTCCCAATCGAAAACAAAACTTTTTTACCAGAGACATTGAAAACGTTTTGACCATGACATTGAAAACGTTTTGACTGTTTGGAGTTATCGTTCCTGACAAGGACACTGACGCGAGCCAAAACTAGGTCACAGTCCGTTTCAGCAAAATGTTGACAAACGTTCATAATTGTGTATCGTCTTCTTAAAATAAGCGTTCACCATTCCTGCGTTTTATTGTTCCCTTGCAGATTTTCACTGTTTTATAAGTTAACGTTAAAAAAATTGACAGGTTTTTGCTGTTTTGTATCCAACAACAGTCACCCACCTTCTGACACGAGTAGGCTGGATCGACACATTTGCGATCTACGACTAAATATTGAATATGAGATTGTACTCGTTGAAAATAAACTTTAACCTTACAATGGGGTGTGGTTAATAAAATCGCCATCAAATGAATTTGGAAACTGATGAATTGTGTGTTGTTTTTCATACCGTTTTCTACAGTACTATATTGTGGTTCGACTGCGAATCCATTAAGTAAGCTTGAGCAGTTTGGTTTCATCCGCGCATTAATACAGATCAGCTGACTTAGTTGTAATCACTTACATAAGCAGATGCGGCTTTGGGTTTATAAATACTGGTCTCTCGGTTTAATTACAGAATGGGTAATAAATAGAACAACGTTGTAGCCTGACGTTGTGATGCGTGATTTTTACGTCACCACAAGGATCAAGTTACATGATGCTAACGTATTTTACATTGTCTTAACGTTCTATTTAACGTTAATAGTTGAATAGTTTTCCCAGTAGTGAACGGCGAGGAGTTCACAGCATAACGTTTCCTCAACGTAAAATTTGCAACGTTGTTATTACATGTACTTTGTGACATAACGTTATACCATGACGTAATACTAACGTTGTGACAACGTTGTGTCATGATGATACCAGTTCAATATGTAACTTATACGTTGTCATTTCTATTGCTGATATACCACACATTTAAAGTGATAATTGTCCTTAAAGCATATTTACCGTTGATATTATTACACGTGTAGTCGAAAGCCTGTTTTATATGGTCAAGGGATGGGATTATTCTTCGCCAATCGGATGGTAGGCATGTGATGAGCTTCCCATGCATGCATCCATAGACGTTTAAAAGAGTAGGTTTGATCCTGGAAAAGTATGCATATGTATTATACAAGATGGTAGTGAATGGAAACTGCAAACACAGCATCTTGCTTGCACTATATCCTATTAACAGCTGGTCACACACCACGAACATTAGCATGGGTGTGACAACCACGTAGCATGTGACAGCATAATCATGACCTGGGATCTGACCAACAGTCATCACCTGTGGCTACACAATCAGTAGAGGTCTGCTGACTGTATAGTCATCACATATTATGTCAAACACCACACACACACACACACACACACACACACACACACACACACACCCCAATAACCATCTCGGATGTGAAGCTAGCTATCACCTGGGTGGTGAATAGGGAGGTATATAAACAGAAATCATTGCGTAACCAATTTAGTCGGCCATTTTGAATGATGACGTCATAGTTTTTTCCCATTCTATAATTAGTAAATACTCATGACGTGCTCACGTGACAGGTCTACACGTGATGAAAATGGTGACATCAAAGGTTATTTGCAATAGGTCTAATAAAAACACATGACATGTCCACGTTATGAGTACCGTGGTGCGACCTGGGCCTTATTTCCTGTCACCGGTATCTACTTGGTAATAATTATTAATCAGATAGCTTGTTTTCGCTGCTTCAGATACCTTTGGGCAACAGATCCCTTACGTGGGAAGTGGACTCTCTCCATGCGGTTCTATGCAATGGTCATTTAATCATCTTTCAGGACAAAAGGGGGTGGGGGAGTGCACCCCTGCGCCCACTCTTGATTCGCCTATGCTTATGTGACTGATCATCAAAATGACAGATTATTAATTTGACCTCATTAGATTCGCTCTGGGGTCCATGTATTGTTGACATAAATGTTTAATCGAGAAATTGAAAACAAACGTACGTAGGCTGGCAGAAGGTCATCCTTACAGCTGAAAGAATAGATGTCAAGTTGTTGAAATTGAAGTTCCTGTCCCTGAAGAGCCGTTCCACGGGAGTCCCTTGGATTTGCGCTGAACACTCGGTGAAGAGTTTGGTACCGTTTAAACACTGGAAAGGCTGGGTGCTGCTGGAGGGTAGTGCTGAAACACAAACTGACAGAGACACACGTGAAACGGGTTAGATCAGTTCCTTTTTTCAACGTCTTCTTGTTAACGAGCTTCATAGTGACCATACTCGTAGCTTCATCACACTAAATCACAATAAACACGCAAGCTGTAACCACATTATTCATATTAAATCTGAAGATGTCAATCATTTCCGATCTCCCAGCTGTCAGTTTATACGGGAATTGTTCATGCAGGATATTTCCAAAGATTTAATGACAAAAACCTTTAGGTTTCGTTGGGTCCTTAAAGTTTGCCTAATAGTGTATCAGATGTGGGGTGCCTGGTATATATCAGGGGATCTAGGGTCCTCTGTCTGATAGTGTACCAGTTGTGATATACCAGGTATATATCAGGGGATGTAGGGTCCTCTGTCTGATAGTGTACCTGTTGTTTTGTACCAGGTATATATCAGATGTAGGGTCCTCTGTCTGATAGTGTACCAGTTGTCTTGTACCAGGTATATATCAGGGGATGTAGGGTCCTCTGTCTGATAGTGTACAAGTGGTCGTGAACCAGGCATTTATCAAAGGATGTAGGGTCCTCTGTCTGATAGTGTACCAGTTGTCGTGTACCAGGTATATATCAGGGGATGTAGGGTCCTCTGTCTGATAGTGTACCAGTTGTCTTGTACCAGGTATATATCAGGGGATGTAGGGTCCTCTGTCTGATAGTGTACCAGTTGTCGTGTACCAGGTATATATCAGGGGATGTAGGGTCCTCTGTATGATAGTGTACCAGTTGTCGTGTACCAGGAATATATCAGGGGATGTAGGGTCCTCTGTCTGATAGTGTACCAGTTGTCGTGTACCAGGTATATATCAGGGGATGTAGGGTCCTCTGTCTGATAGTGTACCAGTTGTCATGTACCAGGTATATATCAGGGGATGTAGGGTCCTCTGTCTGATAGTGTACCAGTTGTCGTGTACCAGGTATATATCAGGGGATGTAGGGTCCTCTGTCTGATAGTGTACCAGTTGTCATGTACCAGGTATATATCAGGGGATGTAGGGTCCTCTGTCTGATAGTGTACCAGTTGTCGTGTACCAGGTATATATCAGGGGATGTAGGGTCCTCTGTCTGATAGTGTACCAGTTGTCATGTACCAGGTATATATCAGGGGATGTAGGGTCCTCTGTCTGATAGTGTACCAGTTGTCATGTACCAGGTATATATCAGGGGATGTAGGGTCCTCTGTCTGATAGTGTACCAGTTGTCTTGTACCAGGTATATATCAGGGGGATGTAGGGTCCTCTGTCTGATAGTGTACCAGTTGTCGTGTACCAGGTATATATCAGGGGATGTAGGGTCCTCTGTCTGATAGTGTACCAGTTGTCATGTACCAGGTATATATCAGGGGATGTAGGGTCCTCTGTCTGATAGTGTACCAGTTGTCATGTACCAGGTATATATCAGATATATCAGTGGGTGTAGGTTCCTCTGTCTGATAGTGTACCAGTTGTCGTGTACCAGGTATATATCAGGGGATGTAGGGTCCTCTGTCTGATAGTGTACCAGTTGTCGTGTACCAGGTATATATCAGGGGATGTAGGGTCCTCTGTCTGATAGTGTACCAGTTGTCGTGTACCAGGTATATATCAGGGGATGTAGGGTCCTCTGTCTGATAGTGTACCAGTTGTCTTGTACCAGGTATATATCAGGGGATGTAGGGTCCTCTGTCTGATAGTGTACCAGTTGTCTGTGTACCAGGTATATATCAGGGGATGTAGGGTCCTCTGTCTGATAGTGTACCAGTTGTCGTGTACCAGGTATATATCAGGGGATGTAGGGTCCTCTGTCTGATAGTGTACCAGTTGTCTTGTACCAGGTATATATCAGGGGATGTAGGGTCTTCTGTCTGATAGTGTACCAGTTGTCGTGTACCAGGTATATATCAGGGGATGTAGGGTCCTCTGTCTGATAGTGTACCAGTTGTCATGTACCAGGTATATATCAGGGGATGTAGGGTCCTCTGAATGAAAATGTACCGGTTGTCGTGTACCAGGTATATATCAGATGTAGGGTCCT